GCATCTCAAGTCATTAATGATCACTGCCATATATTCACAAAGTAAATTTATAAGCCCTTGCACAACTTTTTTCTTTTATATCATCTAAGTCTCACGATTCCATCTACTCTGTTGTTTCTCCAGGAAATCTATGTGAAACATTCCGAAATGCACTACTTCAATGAAGTTTTGGACTTCATAGATTATATGCTCTCTGTTAGGCAGAAAATCTTATCTGGTAAGTCTTTCGTCTCGAATATGGTTTTTACCCAAAAAACCTTTATTATTTCTGAAGGAGGTGTACCGTCTGAGGAACTCAATGCTTTGCGGATTCAGTTGGCAAGGAAGATAGACCGTGGAAATATGTACATGGATTTAGTTTTCGACTGACTAGTCTAATCTGCTATGAAGCCTCCTTTTGCAGGCTTTTGAGTCTAAATGTGACGATCCGGGACGAGCATGGCCTTGCTTATGATCCGGATTCTATATCATTTCTCCAAACATATAATGAACATCTAAATGCTCAAAAACGCGTCGCAACAGATTCCTTCAAGGTTTTATTTCCGTGTATGACTTTTTTTGGGACTTGTATTTGAAGTAGTGCTTCCAGCTTGACCCTCAGGAAAAACCTGCGAAAGCTTTTTGTCTTTTGTTACGGGTGCAATGTGTGGAGCTGCAAATGAAATACAATTGTGAAATTACTATGGTACTGTATGATATGGAAGCAAAACATTTTGTTAGGTGAGTTTCTTCCAGTTTCAATATCATTTGTAGGCATTGTCTTCTAGTTACAACTCTAAAATTTGCACTCTTGGCAACTACTATGTTTAATGTTTCAGTGATACGTTTACGTTCATATGGAAGAGCAGTAATGAACAGAGTTCACGTGACCTCAATATTCGCGGATTATTTACGGTATGCATTCTTACAGCTTCTCATTCTTTTCAAGAAAGGTTTCACATCCAAATTTTGTTGGTATAAACTTCCTCTTCTCGATTGTCTTAGTCATAGCAAATTTTTTTGAAAAAATTGTTATTAATTATAAAAGTACTTTCTGATTTACTACTAAAGGTCGTACGCAGAGTTTTATTCAAAACTTTAGAAAAAGGCATAGACTTTGCAATGATATTCTTTATATAAAAGTAATAACCGGTCAGGTTTTGTCTTTCTTTAGAATTTTACTCATGCCGATATCGGGAAACGTCTCGTGTTGATCACTCGAGTTGCTCATATCTCTCCAGTTGAGCATACGTCGTCAACATTGAGGAGAAATCAAGAGCCAGGTCCTCCAAACTTGTACTGTCGTCAAAGTAGGTTTCCGCATTTTAACCTTAGTCATTTTTTGCTTGTGTTGTCATGTATTTCTTTGTATATATATCCTTTTTGTTTCTTTCTCCTTCATTTCTATGTTCTTTTTTT